TATGAGCAAAATTATAACTACGTTTCCTACACTTGGCGCAGCTTTTTTCCCAGCAATTCTAATCAAGAAGCGATAAAAACTTGATTAACGTTTATTATTGGAACATTGTATCAACTTCTGCATGTTCTTTTGACAACTTGAATACCATATATTTTTATTATAGTAGAAAAAGAGAAGTATTCTATTGTTGTTTTTGACTAGTCTTTATTTAAGTGTAACGGAGTGATCCGAAAACATATTTAAGTGGAAATATCAAAATCAATGTTAACTAGCGATTTTTTCCAATTGGTAATAAAGTTCTGTTGTATTGTATGAAAATATTTCAAAAATTATTTTGTATAAAAATAAGAAAAATTACAAAAAAAAATGAATGCTTTTGTAAACTAAGCAGGTTATTTATTATAATAAGTAAATCTTCTAAAACTAAAATGCTTGTGTTTTATTCCAAATACCTAGTACCTGAAATCTCTCTCTATTCTGCAGTTATATTATGGCTGTAGCACAAATAGGTTGGCTGGACTGGGATAGGAAAACATTCTTTATATTAAGTAAATCTTCTAAAACTAAAATGCTTGTGTTTTATTCCAAATACCTAGTACCTGAAATCTCTCTCTATTCTGCAGTTATATTATGGCTGTAGCACGAATAGGTTGGCTCGACTGGGATAGGAAAACATTCTCACAGAATACCAGCGTAAAATAAGTTAATGTTGCTGCTGTTTCTTATAGTGAGTGTAAAGAACTGGAATTTTTTTTTTGGTAACGAAGCATTCTTAGTCTTCAGGGGCGACAAGCTACATTTGATTTTGAATCGTGGATAGATGTGGATGTCTATGGGCCACAGCATCCACTTACCATCAGGTGGACTGTGTGCTCGTTTGTCACTCTTATTCTGTGAAAAACAAAATAAAATGTTATGAAAATGAAATCATTAAAAAATAAAATGTCGTATGTGTACGTGAAATCAGGAATTAAAAAAATCGTAAATATATGGAATATTTAATATCACAAGTCACGTTTGTTTATGGTTGCCTTACAAACAGTATTTACATTTTGCATTTTAATTGACAAAATATCTGTATAAAAACATAAGTTATCAATTTATTATATTTTTATATGTTAGGAATATCACTAGGTATCTTTTGATATTGCCTATCACCTTATCAGTGTTGCAACTACATAAAAATATACCTACAAAATATTTACACAATAATTTAGTCCTATTTAGTGTATTACATTACATCTGTCCATTCGGTTATTGACTAGACTTAAATCTAATGGAAAGTAATAAATATTTTTATGGCAATATTAAAAATTACGTCATTACCACTTAAAATACGGCTACTCATCTACAAAAGACTAATAATAGGCGTTTTTTTAAATTATATAATCATTCACATACCTCGCCAAAGACACTAAATTACTATAAAATAATTATAATAAATAAAATTATATAGTTTACTAACACAGTATTTAAAAACACTTTACTATAGTCAACCAACCAACTCTAAGAGATACATTTTGACAGCTGTCAGACTTATTGCACCAGGCATGCCAACCAAAAAATTGGAACGTACAATATTCGATTCTTAAAAAAATCGATATCGATTATTTAGAGTTGGTAATCATTTACAGTTTGGTTTTAATAATACCAAAATAAATTTAAAACAGGTAATTTAAAACCCAAGATTTATCAGTTTCTACGTATTTGTTGTTACTGCTTATTGTTAGAGGCTCAGTTATAAAAATTTAAGATTAACCGGATTAGAAAAATTTATTCAATGACTTTCAGTACAACTAATTTAGCTGTCGTTGTTTAGATTAATTATTATTTGATTTTCAATAATGCAGTCAAAATTAATGTCTCTTAATGATTTCTTATATTTACGCGAACACTACACAATGATTAAAACTACTTTTACGGATTTTATCGCGTATAATTATAATTATTTTTATTTTTAATTCCCGAAGTTTCGGGTGCTTTCCAGCACCCATGGTTACGGGGGACTGAGGTGACTGACGTCCCGATGTCTTTGTTAAACCCGGAGTACCTTCAGCTTTTTTTTAAATTATTATTTATGGTCCGATCTATGCAAAATGAACTATGTCCTGAGGTCTTGCAGTGGTATGCTTGGGTTTAGTTTTAATTTTATCGATTATAGGGTCCCAAGCAGGTGGTAGTACCTAGCCTCCTTCTCTACTAAAATTAGGACGTTTTTTAATTTTAATAGCCTCACGTATCATCCTTGGTAGGAACCGGTGTTCCCGTTCGTTCAACGCTCCGGGAAGTCTGCAGTTTGTGATCATATCCTAGACGGCCCGAACCATTACATCAGATTTGATGGACCACAAATCCTCGCGAAAGAACACCGATTCCTAGCAAGGATGATACGTGAGGCTGTTGAAATTAAAAAAAAACATCCCAATTTCAATAGAGAAGGAGGCTGGGTACTACCACCTGCTTGGGACCCTACAATCAAGACAAAATAAGACCTCAAGACATAGTTCATTTTGCATAGATCGGACCATAAACCATAATTAAATAATAAATAATAACCCTTTTTATACGGTTTTTGTTTAATTGAATATTTAAACTTGGTAATAGAGAGACCTTGTATATTTTCTGGGACTTTGTTGTAATAGCGTATACATTGCCCCAAGAATGAATTACTGACTCTGTGGAGTCGAGAAACTGGTAGCAGCAGCTTGTGCTAGTTCCTAGTGTTAACAAAGTGTATGTCACTTTTTTTTACTAAAACTACCTTTATTTTTGTGAACATACATCAAATTTTCATAGATATACTGAGAGGCCAAAGTTAATATATTTATATCTTTAAATTTTTCTTTAAGAGACTCTCTCGGTTTAAGATTGTAAATAGCTCTAATGGCCCTCTTCTGCAAAAAAATTCTGAATACATATAGAAGAAACAGTCCAAAAAGTTAAAGCGAAGTCACAAAATAAGAAGACATACACAAAATTACGCACAGTAAGCTTGCGTAATGGCGGGATATCGAAATTACGTAGTAGTTTTTTCAGCGCGGCCCTATATACGAGTTTTTTTGCCTACACAAATTTACGTTGACAAATTAAAAAAAACTTGTTTTATTCATGATTCATGTAATTTAAGGAATTTTAAAAGAAAAAATTAAATTAAACAAATAATACATTAAAAAATTAATGATTCGATTATTTAAATATTTTTACCGATTATTTGAATATTTGCCGATTATTCGCATAACAATGAATTTTAATCATTCAAACACTACGGTAATGTACATAGCGACATATCATTGAAATAACGTCAAGTAAAAAAAGTTGATACTGGTTATTTTTTAATATTTTGCTTTGTTTGAAAGATTCAAATTTAAATTAGTGATAAAAACCTATACACGTTGTAATGAAATATAGATAACTTCATAATTCTTCGGATTTGCGTAAAATGTTATTTTAAATAATGTGAGTACGCTTATGCAAAGTTATTGCGGAATGATTATTGTGAAACGTCAAAAGATATTTCTTAGATTTGGTTGACTATAATTACATTTTAATAATAATTACATGTTACTAACACTATGTATGTATTGAGGCCTAAAATAAATATATTTTATTTAAGAAAGATATGAGCGAACATTAATAAATATATCGTGTTTTAACTTAACCAACTTGAATTCACACTTAATTGGTTACTAAAATTATTTTGAGCTATAATTTCCTTACTAAAAATTCCGTAATAAAACTGTTTTAAAAAAATATATTTAATAGATAAATGCTATTTTAATTAAGAGGATATAGTAAGTCAGCTCAAATTCTAATTTCGCCCCCACTTTCCCGTGTGTCGTAAGCTATGTACCGACATGTTTGTAATCACTAATACTGTAAGAAGATAGGTCGTTATATACTTATTTCATTACGTTTATCATATTTATGCCTGTTTCTTAACGCCAACCCAGTCGCTTCTTATTTTTATCACGGTTATTTCCCATTTTAATTTTACGTCGTCCTGTTGCGTAATGTGTATTCTGATCGTAAGCGACACAACTTCTCCCTTCAAAAGCCGGAGCGATACTAACGAGGCAACAGGAATCAAGCTTCAAGACGCCGATAGTTTAGGTAATTTCTTTTTTACAGTGAAAATAATGGTATTTTAAATAAAGTAAATAACATAAGCACCGCTTTATAGTTAGTTTAGTTAGTATGCAAAGTTTCATGATCTTATTTAAAGTATTTTATGAATAACAGCGGTTTATTGTTCAGTTTGGAGGTAACTTTGGAATTTTTTTCTATCGAGAAAATTTTACGGATTCGTGTTTTCGTCTAACATAGTCCTTAACATTAATCCTCAACTTTACCATGTATTTATTTCAAAATTAATGCTGCTATACTTTCGGCATAACGGAGGATCTTGCTAAGCCATTTGAGGTTATATTTCCCCTTAAAGTAGCAAGTCTAATTTCATTTCATACAATATTTCACTCCTGGTGTAGGCACTCATTTCTGAGAGGTCTTTAGTTTTTGGAAGAGTCTGTCGCATGTTCTTAAAATATTTCTCCAATACAAGTTTCCTCACAATTTAGTTCTTCACCACCGAGCACTCGATAAATTATCAGAACTTAAAATTGCGATTGACGATTTTGGAATAGAAGTGCGCTTGCTCTTGCTCTATGAAATATAGCGAACGTGTCTCACAGTTCTACGCCACCATAGATTTTAGCTTCCATCGTTTCTTAGCTACCACAGCTTCTCAACTACCACAGCTTCTTAGCTACCACAAATCAAGCAAGGTAGATAAACTACTTCGGCCATAAGTACGATAATATATTTTAATTTATCTCCATCCATACTATGCTTTCAACATTTTTTAACGTCATACTACAAAGTATACGCCATGAAGTTCAAAAACTGTTTTAAACTTAATATTAAAATGAGCAGACAATCGTTTTAAAAAATAGGCGATAAATTTTCACCACATTTATACTTTAAAAGTAAAGGAACACAGACGATCATACGTGATTTGTTTCAACTACCTTCTCTGGATTTTTTCTCTTCCTTCCTTCTAGATCTGCGTAAATGTCTTCCAAGCTTCTCATTTTTGTCTCTGGAACGCAGAAGATGAGGTAGAACACGTTCGCAATGCAGATGAAGCTGAATAACCAGAAGGTATAGTGATATCCTATCCAAGAGTTTAAAGGTGCGAAGAGTTTTAGCAGAGCGAAGTCTGTTCCGAGGGATATAGCCATAATGAGGGTAGCCACTGTCCCTCGGAGCTGGAAGAAAATATATATAAGTTAAAAATATGTTTTGTTCATTTGCAGTGCGGTGTCACTGAAGGAGATTTCCTCACCTCATTTTGTAAAAGCTATTTCTGATGTTAAGAAAGATTTCATTTCCTTCAAATAACTTCCCGTATATACGTTTATTGTGCATGGTAATAGAGCCATGCTACAGCTTTGTTATGGATGCAGCACGAATGGATTTGTTTGACCGTGGAAGGACCACGTTTTAATAGACTACCAGCGTAAAAAAACCAGCTTAATTGCTGCTACGTTTCATACGAGTGTGAGCCGTGGTAGCTCAGATGGTTAACGCTCGCTGTAAATATAACAGAACGCGAGTAACCCGGGTTCGATCCCCACCGGCACCAATGAAATTGTTAATTGCAATTTTAAGTGCTGATTTACCACATGCTCGGCGGTGAAGGAAAACATCGTGAGGAAACCTGCATGTCTGAGGAATAAGAAAAAAAATTATTTCGAAGACATGTGAAGTTTGCTAACACGCATTGGGGCAGCGCGGCGGACATTTCCTTGCCCTAAAACCCTCTCAGAAATGAGGGGGAGGCCTGTGCCCAGCAGTGGGACGTATATAGGCTGTAACTTTACTTTACTTCATACGAGTGTAGAGAACCAGAGAGTTTGTACTGGAAACGTTTGCCATTTTAATCCTCATTTTAAACCGGTAGATAAAGCATTTTCATTTTGATTGTACATGATTGACATGTACCATATCAAACATTTTTACGTGGTAGAGCTATGCTGCAGCTATATTAGTAGGTAGTATAGTTGCAGCATGAATGGGTCAGCTCGACCGGGGAAGGACCACGCTCTCACAGAATACCAGTGTACAATAGCAGCTTATGCTGCTGTGTTTCGTATGATGAGTGTAGAGAACCAGAGATCCTTTTTACTGGAAACGAGGCATTCCATCTTAGTCCTCACGGGTGACACGTGTGCGTTTTGATTCGTAACCGAGGATAGATGTAGGTATCTATGGGCCACAGCAATCATTTACCATCAGGTGGACTGTGTGCTCGTTTGTCACCCTTAACTCATCTGCATTTTGATTCATAATTGAGTATAGATTTAGATGTTTATGGGCCATAGCAACCAGTCAGGTGGACTGTGTGCCCGTTTGTCACCCTTATACTATATATAAATAAAAACGCACCTGGAAGTTAAACATCTCGGTCATGATGACGAAGGGCAAAGGCTGGAGGCCGGACGCGTCCGCGAAGATGCACGCGCACAGCGCCGTCACCGGCAGCCAGCCCGGCAGCCGCGCGCCCCCCGCACCCCCTGCGCCCCCCACGCTCTGCAGGTAGAACCACGCGCCCAGCACGCACATCGCGCACCCCGCTACCGCGCTCGTCACCGCCAGCAGCGGCTGCAACAAGCAAGACGGTTTATACGTGGTAGAGCCATGCTGCAGTTATATTAGACGTATAGTTGTAGCACGAATGGGTCGGCTCGACCGGGGAAGGATCACGCTCTCACAGATTACCAGCGTGAAGTGGTAGCTTAATGCTGATGTATTTCGTATGGTGAGTGTAGAGAACCGGAGACCCTTTTTACTGGAAATGAGGCATTCCATCTTAGTCCTCACGGGGGACAACGCATCTGCATTTTGATTCGTAATCGAGGATAGATGTAGATGTCTATGGGCCACAGCAACCACTTACCATCAGGTGGACTGTGGGCTCGTTTGTCTCCCTATACTATAAAAAAAGACGGGGGAATAATAACAATAATTCTGTTGTATTCTGTATTCACATCTGCCTGAGCTTCGCACGGGTGATTCTACAACAGCACCACCTACCGAGCACCAACTATTTCTATAACTTTTGCGGAAGTGCAAGCAATATGCTGACAAAGTTTTATCGCAATCTGATGGCAGCGCATAACATACGAACAAACAATTATTAATTTTAAAAGACAGGCTGGTTATTTATATAACGTAGTCAATAAAAAACTAAACATTTATTCACTGAACTCTAATGAGCTCAAAAAGACAGTCACGGAATCGCTTCCCAAACTTAACTATGATGATGTCGAGGCATTATTAAAAGTTAGTAAATAAACTTTACATACGCACACAAACACACACACACACACACACACACACACACACACACACACACACACACACCCACACACACACACACACACACACAAATAAATATAAGCTTAGTTTCCTTTATTTTTTTTACTTTTTTTGTGTTTACTAAATGTAATTAAAGTAGTTAAATAATAAACAAAAAATGTAATTGTAGCTATAGAAGAGCGGGACATCCTGCCACAAGTATATATTTACTTAAAAGGATGTCTCACTTACTCCCATACCTATGTAATGTGTGATGTTTTAAAAGAAATAAACAATTTTAAATTTTTTATAATTTTAGATAGATGACATGCAATTCATATTGAAAGACACTTTTATTTTTACCACTAGCTCGGAAAAAATCCTTTGTCTTGGGAAAACCAACATGAAACGCAGCGGGATTTTCTTTCCAAAGTAAACCCTTTTTACTAGAAACGCGGCATTCCATCTTAATTTACAGTGTGTTGTAATTAGTTGGACTGTGTGGTCGTTTGTTACTTATATTCTGTATAAAATGGCCGAGTGTGGTTTGTCGCTACTTCTGTCGTCGGTCTAGTTTTTTTTTAAACGAATTGAAAACAGAACTAGCACTACACTTAATTGTGACTTATGTTGTGATTGAAATAACTACTATAGCCCATGTAGAGATGCAGCCAAATTTAAAAAAACAATCCTATAAAAATGCGTTTTCCCCCATATATATATATATATATATATATATATATATATATATATATATATATATATATATATATATATATATATATATATATATATATATGGGGAGTGGGTGTAGCCACTATGCCACAAGACGTCAATTCACACGTACTAGGCTTCACTAAAAGTATCGGGAATGGAATATTTCCACTGTTCCTGTCATATTAAAATCTTTTTAATTGAAAACTCCTTGGTTTTAAAAATCGAATACCATTTATTTATTTCAAAAAAAGGTTCTCGGTCTTGTCACAAGGTTTTGTCAAACTTGTTCAGTCGTTGAGAAATTGGAATTGACTCGCGAAAATGATGATTTATTATGACTTTCGAAGTGGTTTAACACAAAAACAGTGTGTTGACCAGATGATTTCCGAATTTGGTGATGAAACCCCATCCAAAACCACAATTTATCGCTGGTTTGCTGAATTTTAACGTGGACGTGTCAAGCTCAGTGATGATCCCCATCAAGGTCGTCCAAAAACTGCAGTCACCCAAGAAAACGTTGATGTTGTGCGTAAGCTGATTGAGGAAGATCGACATGTGACATACCGCCAATGTTTTCAAAAGGAAGGATAGGCCCATCTAAACATTTTTCTCATAACTTTTTCATAGAAGAAAAAGTAGCGCATCTGTCTTAATACAAATGTCATATCACAACACGACGTAACCAGGGTCGGATTTCGTAGTATAATTATCCTAATTGTTCAATCATTATTCCATAGTTTGTAGTATATAGTATCGTAATAATACTAAACGAAAATACCATAATTTTACCTAACGGTCGACTTGTATTATTATTGGGTCCTTTTACTTTTTAACATTAACCCTACGATATCGAGAATTTCTGTATTGTACATGAGTACCGCGTTTTTTTAATAAAATTAGAATTAGCTCCCTTTCTGGTCAATCGGTGCTCGATCGATGCATTTATGTTGCATCCTTTATACAGCTATAATGAAGGGCTACCATGATAAAAACTCTATGCTCCAGAAGCAATCGGTTTGAAAACAGAATTTTAAAATATTTTATGAATCAGATTTTCAAATTCAATTAAGCCGATATGGTTTCTTTTGTACTCTTTTCGTTTTACCGTTATTGAATATAAAATATTATTATTATTATTAGAATTAATGTATTCAAAATTTAATTTACACTAAGTTTTTTAGACAAATATAAAACAGAAATTAAAAATAAAACCGTCAAATAACGAAACGTATAGATAAACTAGACGCATGACGCCAAAATCCCAGCACATGTGAAAAAGAAACATGAAACGTGATATAATTTTTTTTAAATAGTCATACCATTTTATTTTCCATGTACAATATTTTGAGGGTCTGCAATCGCCAACCCTGGCCTAACCCTGGTTTCTTGGTAACGTAGCACTAAACTATGGTTTCTTTTGTACTCTTGCTTCGTTTTACCGTTATTGAATATAAAATCCCATTATTATTATTATTAGAATTAATGTATTCAAAATTTTACTTCACTAAGTTTTTTAGACAAATATAAAACAAAAATAAAACCGTCAAATAACGAAACGTATAGATAAACTAGACGCATGACGCCAAAATCCCAGCACATGGGAAAAAGAAACATGAAACGTGATATAATTTTTTTTAAATAGTATAATTTTATTTTCCATGTACAATATTTTTGAGGGTCTGAATCCAACCCTGGCCTAATCTTGGTAACGTAACTAAACTAACTGTAAAATAAAACTGTAAAAATGCGTTTATATAATTTTATTCAATTCCATTGTATTATATTTAATTGTAACAAAATTAACATTTTTAATAACCGATGATACGATATCCGATGTTCCTTTTTAATCTTTGTATCGTAATTTTTTTACCACGCAACTAGACATATTTATGACAGGCAAATCTGTCCTGCGCGCGCACCACTGTCGACCGATTCGCGTTGGCCCTAAACTGTTCTGAATCGTTTAACTGTTCTAAATCGCCCTAAATCGTTTCTGAACTCCGTAAAGAGAACTGCAACCGCCGCATCATCCTCCATCACGACAATGCGAGTTCTCACACCGCACACAGAACAAAAGAGTTTTTAGAGCAAGAAGACATAGAATTATTAGACCATCCGCCGTACAGCCCCGACCTAAGTCCTAATGATTTCTATACTTTCCCTAATATAAAGAATAAATTGCGTGGACAGTGATTTTCATCACCTGAAGAAGCTGTGGACGCCTACAAAACGGCCATTTTGGAGACCCCATCTTCCGAATGGAATGGTTGTTTCAATGATTGGTTCCATCGTATGGAAAAATGTGTCAACTTTCGCAGAGAATACTTCGAAAAGCAATGAATACATTTTTAAATAGTAATGTTGTGTCACTTCCTTGATTCCCGAAATTTTCAGTGCCGCCCTCGTATAAGTGTCAACACGAAATGTGTTTTGACGTTACAATCGTTTCTAAATTTCGCATGCAAATTATTTAGAAAATGCCAAATTGCACGCTATTTACAAATAAATTTATATTAAAATCCGTCTGTCAACACAGCGAATCGGGTTTGTAGTAGTGATTAACTGATAATATGACGTTATTGCATGTATGTGTGCTCCCGGCGACGCCGAACCTCGGTACAAAATAATGTTGACAGCCATTCTATTGTGTATTATAGTATTCTACGGTTTTCACTAAAACGGAATTTCTCGCAGATTTTTATTACACTGGCACTCTATATACCCTTCAAGATCTGGAATACAGAGTTTAATTGCAATTTCATCTGTGCTGCCGGAGCTCAAACCCGGGTAGCTCGTGAAATTAGCAGCGAATGCTTAGTCCTTGAGCTATCAGGGCTCTACTAGGTTAGGTTAAGTTAGGATAATTCGGAGTCTGAAGTTCGGACCGAAACACAGCAAGACAGAAATAGGTAAGTAAGATGTACCCGACCAAGACGGACACGGCAGAAAGGATGTTTTACCACTTATAAATATAGTTGAGAGTAAAATGCTATGATAATGATGCACATCGAAAAATGCTCTAATCAAAACACTTACGTTATTTTGTTACGTGGTAGAGCCATGGTGCCATATTATGGTTGCAGCTCGAAAGGGTCAGTTCTACCGGGATGGGACCACGGTCTCAGAATACCCGCGTAAAATTGCAGTTTAATCTGTTGTGTTTCGTATGGTGATAAAGAGAACCGGAGACCCTTTTAACTGGAAAAAAGGCATTCCGTCTCAGTCCCCTGGGTGACAATGTATTTGCATTTCGATTCTTAGTTGAGGTAGTGGACTGTGTGCTTGTTTGTCACCCTTACTCTATAAAAAAGACATACCTTTCTCCCAACACGGTCGACAAGTTGACAAGCCAAAAAGGATCCAAAGATCTGGACTGCAGCGAGCAGAATTGATTGCTTGTTTGGCGACAACGCAATGCTAGTGTTAGGATCCTTCCCGGCTTCCGCGAAAATGTGGCTTGCGTAGACCAGGACAGCTATGCAGCCACAGAACTCTCTTGTGAGGTTCACTATGAGAGCCACCCAGAATGCTTTAACTGTGGTTTTGTCGGAAACTGCAAACAATATATGTATATGTTTTATTTTATTAACTATACGTTGTTATGCCTTATAGATAGACACCTTTATACGTGGTAGAGCCACGCTGCAGCTATATTATGGTTGCAGCTATATTATGGTACCAAGCGTGGCAATGGCAACTATTCGACTATGGCAAATATCCCCCTTATGAAGCAATCTATGGGGACCCTTATGTTCAGCAGTGTTTGACAGACTCAATGAGTGAATGAACGTTGTTAGAATAATTAGTGATTTTGCGTACGTATTTGTATACTCATTTGAATTTTAAGGGGTAGGCAGAGTCCAAAAATGCCAAGCCACTCTGAACATGTTAAGCGGAAAAAATGGGTATAGATGGAAAATTGTGAAAGAAGTCAGTCTATTTAACGTGGTAGAGCTCTCACAGAATACCAGCGTGAAATAACAGCTCAATGTTGCTGTGTTTAGTACGGTGAGTGTAGAGAACCGGAGACCGATTTTATCCCGTTAGTTGCTTTTTACGACACGCTAGGCAAAGTTACACAGTTGGTTCATTATTTTCCGTTTATAAGTCCCATATAAACATGACTATATTAAGTCCTAGACCAATATGGGACAGCATGGTACAATATGATATAATGGTCTGATTTTGTGTATTAAAAGTAGGAAAGGCTGTTCAGGTAGACAGGTGTTCTTCCGGCGATTTAAACCTCGAGTTATTTAACATTACAGCCTCCCACAAGTCCACTACTGAACATAGGCCTCCGCCAAGGTATGCCACAAAGCACGGTCCTGAGCCACCTGCATCCATCGACCTCCTGCATGTTTTACCAGGTCTTCACTCCATCTAGTGGGGGGTCGCCCTACACTTCGCCTACCGGTACGAGGCTGCCACTCGAGAACCCTCCAACGGTTCCCCAACGGTTGTCGGTTCTTCGAGCTATATGGTCGGCCCATTGCCACTTCAGCTTACTAATCCGTTGGGCTATGTCGGTCACTCTGGTTCTATTGCGGATATCCTCATTTCTAAGCTTATCACGCAGAGAAACTCCGAGCATAGCTCTCTCCATAGCTCGCTGAGCGACTTTGAGCGTCCTCATACGGCCAGCAGTGAAGGACCACGTCTCGGTTCCGTAGGTCATCACTGGCAACACGCACTGGTTGTACAACTAAGTTTTCAGGTTTCGAGGTATACCTGACGAGGAGATGCGTCGAAATTTCCCGAACGCTGCCCAGCCGAGTTGAATCAGTCGATTGACCTCTCGGTCGAAGTTGGACTTACCTAGTCGGACTATTTGTCCCAGGTAAACGTACTCGTCAACAACTACGAGCTTAGTGCTCCCAACAACTACCGGCATAGGTGTGACATGGACATTAAACATGATCTTTGTTTTGTCCATTTTCATCTTAAGACCTATCCGTTGGGAGGCACTATTGAGGTCATTGAGCATAGTGCTTAAGTCCTCCAGCGATTCTGCCATAATGACTATATCGTCGGCAAATTGAAGGTGAGTGATGTACTCGCCATTGATGTTAATACCGTATCGTTTCCAGTCCAGTAGCTTGAAAACGTCTTCCAACGCAACACGCAACCCTGTCTTACACCTCTCTGCAGTTGGATAGGTTTTGTACTCTGGTTCTGTACTCGGATAGCCATCGACCATGGTAACGGCGGGGCAGGTGGTGCTAAGAATCTCCGGTGGAGGTTCGGTTGCCATCCACGACGAATAGACCTGGCATCATATAACGCTCGCACCCCGAGGACTGACGAGAAGATACTTGAGCTGGAAGAAGACGTAAACAAGCTGCGCTGGCATATTATTGGATTATCTGAGGTCCGAAGAGAGGGGGAGGACACGGTAATCCTCGAGTCCGGCAACTTGTTCTATCACCGGGAGGGCGACCATCTGTCCCAAGGAGGTGTCGGATTTATCGTCCACAAGTCTCTCGTCAACAACGTTGTGAAGATGGAAGTGTGTCGACGAAGGTCGCGTACCTGATACTCAGAATCACCAAACGGTATTCGCTGAAGGTCATACAGGTTTACGCACCAACCTCGGTACATCCCGATGAATAGGTGGGGGAATTGTATAAGGATATCTCTAAAGCCATTTATTTCTCCAAAACCCACTATACATGGTGTTAATGGGAGACTACAACGCAAAACTAGGCACAAGAGAAAGCGGTGAGCTGAAGTTAGGGAAATTTGGAATAGGGCAACGGAACCGTAGGGGCCAGCAGCTGGCCGACTTTATGGAGAAAGAGGGACTCTTTATGATGAACTCTTTCTTCCAGAAGCGGCCCCACAGGAAGTGGACCTGGTCGAGCCCCGACGGTTCGACAAAAAATGAGATTGACTTTATTATGACGACCATGACGCCAACTGTTCAGTGATGTCCCAGTGATCGCAAGGATGAAAACTGGCAGCGATCACCGAATGGTTAGAGGCACACTGAACCTAAACGTGAAGTTGGAGAGGTCTCGTCTAATGAATTCAACGCTCCGTCCCCCTCGTGGTCTAATCCAGAATCCCGAATCCTTTCAGATCGAGTTACTTAACCGCTTTCAGTGCCTAGAAGATTGCAATGCAGTGGACGATATGAATGACAATCTCGTGGAAACTGTCCATGCTGTTGGAGCTAAGTTTTGCAAGACCCGCCGCCGCCGCCGCCGAAGAACACAAAAACTCTCTGATCACACTCTTAATCTCATGGCTGTTAGACGGGAGATGAGGCTGCAATCGTCATCGGATTTGACAGCATACAGGCAACTGAACAGACAGATCTCCAAATGCATGCGGCGAGACTTGCGCAACTTTAATACTGCTCGTATTGAAGAAGCGCTCGAGTGGAACCAGGGCTCCAAAGTCTTTGCTAGAGATCTGTCTGCCAGTAAGAGCCAACTGTAAAGCTGAAGATGAGTGTGGAGAGGCTGAGATTTTGGTGAGTATGGGAGTATCCGGCCACACGGGACGCAAGAGCAAGTCTTATCCGACACTATTCCGATGATATCCCGGACATCCGTCTGAGCGAGATTAGAATGGCTCTCCAGCACCTTAAAAACGGCAAGTCTCCGGGTGAGGATGGAATTACAGCAGAGCTTCTGAAAGCGGGTGGAAAACCGGTACTTGAAGTCCTTCAGAGGCTCTTTAATTCCGTCCTCCATGGTGGCACTAGTCCGGAAGCGTGGGTCAGAAGTGCGGTGGTCTTGTTCTTCAAGAAAGGTGACAACGCCCTATTCAAGAACTACAGACCGATATCCCTTCTGAGCCGCGTCTACGTGCTGTTTTCGAGAGTCATTACGAATCGTGTCGCACGCAGACTCGACGATTCCAGCCTCCCGAACAAGCCGGTTTCCGAAAAAGCTTTAGTACCATAGACCACATACATACCCTTCGGCAAATTGTACAGAAGTCCGAAGAGTACAATCTGCCGCTTTGCTTGGCGTATGTGGACTATCAAAAAGCCTTTGATTCTGTCGAAATTTGGGCGATGCTACAGTCTCTTCAGCGGTGCCAATTTGACTATCGGTATATCTAAGTGCTGAAGTGTTTGTACAGTAGGGCTAATATATATATATATATATATATATATATATATATATATATATATATATATATATATATATATATATACAACATGTAACAAAAACCCTGTGGTTCCCGTTAACTGCGTTATCAGTATCCAAGCATATAGAAATATTTTTTCAAAAAAATATTTCTATTTAAAAAAAAAAACAAAATTAAAAATATTAATTATAATGATAAATAATTAATTTGCAAATTGTGTGTGGTTTTATTATCCCTGCATTGGCCGTTGGCCGAGAATTAAGAGAATTGTTAAAGACCCCGCAGTACCGATACTCGTGAGTTTAGAGAAAATAAAACCACATACAATTTGCAAATTAATTTTTTTTTCATTAAAATTAATTTTTTTAAATGTGTTTTTTGAAAAAAAAATATTTCTGTACGCTCGGATACTAATTCTGATAACACACTTAACGGGAACCACAGGGCTTTTGTTACATATTATATATATACTAGACATAGATAGGCAGGTACAGGTGTTCCTCTGGCAGTAGTCGAATGGCGGATTTGAACCCACGACGTTTTTGAGTTCGCGATCTGCGCCCTGCCATTAGGCTACTGTCGCTTTGAACCTCGAGTTATTGTGTCCGTTTTAACGCCTTGGGAAACTGGACATTAACATATTTATACTAGACATAGGACTCCCCCATAGATTGTCACATAGGCGTGATTTTACCAACGTCGCATGCTTGGCAAGTCGGCTGCGCATCTCGTTTCATTTCCGCTCTATCGCCTTCTACGACACTCACGGGACGATTTGAGGCACCTAGTAGATATTCTTGCAACGCCGCTACACGGCCTACTAAACGTTACGGTTTTAAATTTAAATTCATGCAATTTTAAATAGTCACACATCGACTGATAGACGCAATTTTGTGCTAAAGTTAGCGGATCGCCTTGATTTTCTCACACCGAATTCCGTGCGAATTTGATACATTCTGACGTTGATGACCCCGCAACTCAATTGACATCTAGAACCCTGTTTGACATGATATAAATACAAGCAACCGAATTAAATGTCGCCCACAAATTGAAAATAATGAAGGGGCTCAAATATCAAGGACGTTGGCGTCTAACGTCGGGAGTCAACTTGCCAATTGGCGCAATAAATATGTTTGTTGAGTCTTTTCGCTAATAATTGCGTACTGTTTGTACACGTGATTCATCCTTCGGGAAATATGTATGGATACAGAATCTTTATCATAATGTCGAGATCATTTTGACTAAATAAATCATTGACAATCGTTGTAGGAATATCCACTACTCCGTATCGACCCGTGGGTGTCGTAGGAGGCAATATAGGAAAACAAACCAGGAGATGGGCAGAAACGTCTTTTTAACTTTATTGTTTATTCTAACTAAGTGTAATATGGTCATCCTGTTAATATGGTCACTTATAACTCATAAACTACACCGCTTTGTTTGCATAGATGCCTCTGTAATACGATAGGTCTTCATTAGTCAACCAAATAATAAAGTGTCAAAATGACGCTGCTTTATCAATGCCATTTTGACACTTGAAATTATAGTAATTATTTTAGTCGATTTTAGTATTGTGTAGTGTAGTTAGGTTTTTAAAGTTGATTATTCGAAGCGTTACTAATTATTGTCAAAGCTCGTTTGCTATTGTTTTCAAGCTATTGCATAGCTTTTATCGCGGGTTCGTCAGACTTCGGCACGGTGTTTGTGTGCGTGCGACTAGACGTATGCGTGATGATGCATGTAGACTAGTTGCATGTATTGTAAGATAATAAAAAAATATTTTAAACAATAATATAGTTTATTGCAAGAAGCATATTCTACGGATTTATATGAGTCGAATTTAGAGTATTTAATAAACACAGACTATAGAAAATTATCGTTTGTCGGAAGAACTCGTTAATAACTTGTTGTAAGATATCAAACATCTTTTGAAAACTCTGCAGCGTCGACGACGTGGATTGGAAAGAAAAAAACTGCATAAATAAAATAAATAAATAATTATAATTGCATAAGTTGATAAAAATGCTATGCAATAGCTTTACCGCGGCAGTCCCCGAGTGCCACACGTATTTTTGTAAATAGTTACAGTATATGACTTTGTTTTTTGTCTTTATCTTCCTCTTAGTTTTATTTTTATAGGGCGGCAAAGTTCAAAGTGACCGTATTACCCTCACGTACCTTATTGCATAAAAAACTAAAACGATTACTCGTAAAAATAAAAAACTGCGCTTGTCAATCCGCTTGCCAATTGTGGTAACTATGGCAAAAGCTTTAAACTTTTAATTTAATTTTATTTTTTACTTTTATATTTTAAACTTTTAATTTTATATTATTTATTTAATTTAGATTGCCAAAGATCCCACTTAAAGTGACACTACACTTTTGGTGAAATCTTGGTCATGCTCTCTAATGTAATTTAATAATGTAATAAAGTTAATGTAATTTATTTACTCTTACTCTGTATAAGAATTAATAATTAAATGCTGAAGAAGGTCCGGTTTAAGAATAACAACGTGACGCTGAAACCCTGTTGTTTTTTTTTAATGAAAACTAATTGATAGAATCAGGCGTGAATTTTTTTTATAAAATAAGGGTGACAAACGCGCACACAGTCCACCTGATGGTAAGTGGATGCTGTGGCTCATTGACATCAACATTTACCCTCGATTAAGAATCAAAACGCGGATGCGTCGTCTCCTATGAGTACTAATATGGAATGCCTCGTTTCCACCATACGAAATACAGCAGCATTACGCTGCTATTTTACACTGGTATTCTGTGAGAGCGTGGTCCTTCCCCGGTTGATCCGACCTATTCATGCTACAACCATAATATAGCTGCAGCGTTACTCTACCACGTAAAAATACCTCTTTATTTTGGGTTCTATCCACACAATTCGACTACTGAAAATAGGCATCCCCAATTAATGCCACAACACACGATCCTGAGTTAAGTGTTCAGGTCAGCTCGGCTCATTTTGCTTATCGACACGAGGCTGCCACTTGATAACTTTTTCGCCATCGATTAATGCTTCTTCGAGCGATATGGTCGGTCTATTGCAACTTCAGCTTACTGGTCCGTTGGGCTATGGCAGTTGCCCTAGTCCTTATCTATGTTATACTGGATACCATCATTCAAAACCTAACAGTATGTGCTGTTAATAAACGGCTAACAATAGCTACCGCGATGAGCTTCTTGGCAGAGAAAGGTCTCTACCAATCAGCACATTACCCGTCTGTCCATTATAACCTAAGTCTATTGCTGAACATATGTCTATCGCAACGATTGTCTGTGGTATTTTGCCACTGATGCCACGCTCGCCACGCGGGTTGGTAACCGTAGTTTTTATAATTTTCAGCAGTTATCGCGAAGACGCTGCTGCCGATCTGTTTCCATTTGTCCTCTGTGACGACATGACGGAATAATATACGAATATTCTTGCACCGCCACTGCACGGTGAACTAGACAAAGATTGACAAATACTCACATAGAAGTCTCGGTGCAAACTTGAGCTCACTGGTGGTCTGCTCTATAATCAATCGGTCTACTTCCTCGCTGATGGTCTTGTCATCAGGCGGGAGCGATCGGAGCCATCCTAGCACTTTCGCTGTATCCTGTTAAAAACGCCAAGGTTTTCTTTTAAAGTGAAATCTTTGAACTGATTTGAAAATTGATGAAACTAAAAAGCGACACTAAAAAATAAACATATACATCTGTAGGATTTAGCCTGCGAGAGAATGAATAGCACAGTGTAGTAAGCGATAGTAGCCTAATGGTGTGTAAGTACGGACCGCTAACTCAAAAGGTTGTGGGTTCGAATTGACCACTCGACTACTGTGGAGAACCACTCTAACACAAGCATTTTCATACTATCAGTAGTGGTAAAAGGTAGTATTGGTATTGTAAATATCATTGCTAGTATTTTTAAGACAGTATTTCCTATTACTTCGGTCTCCTATTAGTGCGGTGCTTTAAAGATGGTTATTAATTTAATAACTGTTAAATAACTATAATACATGAACAAAATTACTTATATTAATTTAACCAATCCAAATTCATTTATAAAAATCCACAATTTCATAACGTCAGGCCATCTAGCGTCTATTTTGCGTCTTTTTAATTATCAGTGCAAAACTGGACGTGTTAAGCAATTTATGTAAATAGCATTCACAACTTTTTATTATTAGTGCTTAACTTTTATGATCACAGATGAGTTGTCACCCCTGAGGACTTAGATGGAATGCCTCGTTTCCAGTAAAAAGGATCTCAGGTTCTCTTTACTCATCTTATAAAACACAGCAGCAATAAGATGGTCCTTCCCCGGTCGAGTCGACCGGATCGTACACACCATATAATAGCAGCAGCGTGGCTCTGCCACGTATAAATATAATAATGCTGCAGCGTATTACAATTTTCCAGGTAATAATATAATATAGCATAGAAAGCCAATATAATTTCAGGTGGTGATGCATTCCATCTTAGGTACATGTAAAGAAGAAATGATGTATGTTACTGTCATCAATACGCATCAGTACAGTCATTGGGATAGTGGGCCAGCACCATCGATATCTGAATAATAAGGCAATAGATTTCTGTGGCTAGCACTGACTTGAAAGAGTAAAAAACGTAAAGCTTTTTTTTATAAATTCGTTTTATTGGTACTGTGTTTTGATTTTGATTGATGACTTGCCGACACGTGCCGCCGGTTTGAATCGGCGGCACGTGTCGGCAAATCCATACATGACAATGTTTTATTTAGTATCAACAAGAAACCCAACTCAATAGACTAAAATTATAGCAATCACGGCTCTTTTGTATCTCGGTCAGGCAATGGTAAGGAAACTTGACATCAATCAATTAAATGTATGACTTTTAGTAAGGCTCTTTATTGCTCTTAAATGGCCTAAATGAATGTAATACAGACGTTACTAGTTCCTTCCTATTGAGATGTAGAAAACAATGTATTTGCAAATGACCGTTTGACGTATTTCGTTTTTCATGTGATAATTTATTATGAAATATGATTAATATTAGGTGCATTAATAATAAGTGCTTGGGGAAACGGAACTAAACGCCTTCATTAAATACTGCAAAGTATTTTTTTAAACAAACAACCTCCACAAAAAATATATCCAACATTTTCGGGTAAATTGAAGCTTAGATCACTCCCGTGATGTTTCATCACAATTAGTTCAGCTAATCGGGAGATTAGCCCGGACAATCCGACAGACAGAAAAACAAAAATTATAAAAATAATATGTTTATTTTATATCTATAACCTCCTGAGTTCAATAAAAGGCAGTTATTTCGCTATTATAGACAGACTCTGTGAGCAAAAATCTGGCATAATACATTGCACCCGTAGCGGAGAATATGGAGGAGGATTTTCCAACGTGAAAAAAGGTTTAAAACGAAGTAATGTATTCCCCAAATAATTCTTATAATTTACTCGCCAAATTTCCATAGAGTCCATCTGGGTTAGTACCAGTCTAACATATATTTTCGATGCGCACTAGTAGTGATAAACCAGCACACAGTCCACCTGATGGTAATTGGATGTTGTAGCTCATAGTAATCTTGCGTTGTTATCCATGAGGCCTAGATCGAACGCCTCGTTTCCAGCAAAATAGGGTCTCCGGATCTCTACACTCACAATACGAAACACGGCGGCATTAAGCTGCTGTTTTCAGCTGGTCTGTGAAGAAAGCGTGGGCTTACTTCGGTTGAGTCGATCAATTCGTGCTACAACCATAATATAGCTGCTCGTGGCTCTACCACTTGTAAAATCTCTATCTACCGAACAAGCAGGATAGAAGGTTAAGATGCTAGTATAATTACAAACTGTGAGGCTTTCATCGGCCTCAGTGGTAACAACGCTTCTCTAGTCCTCTTTTTAAAAAGCTGGTTGCAGGTACCCGCGGGCTACAGTAACCACCATCAGAACTTTTACCACATTTGTTACTGTTGAATTACTGTTACCGTTACAGCCTATTAAAGTCCATTCATCCATTACAACGTAGGCCTCCTCCAAAGATTGCCTCATAGGGCGGTTTTTTTAATAGGATAAGGTGACTAACGAGCACACAGTCCACCTGATGGTAAGTAGTTGCTGCAGCCCATAGACATTTACATCTATCCTCGATTACAAGTCAAAATGCAGATGCGTTGTCACCCGTGAGGACTAAGAATGCCTCGTTTCCAGTAAAGAAGGGTCTCCGGATCTCTACACTCACCATACGAAACACAGCAGTATTAAGAGGTGAGAGTAAGTCAGCTCAAATTCTAATTTCTCCCCCACTTCCCCGCGCGTCGTATGCTATGTACCGACATGTTTGTAATCACTAATACTCTAAGTAGATAGGTCGTTAGATACTTATTTCATTAGGTTTATCATATATATGCCTGTTTCTTAACGCCAACCCAGTCGCTTCTTATTTTTATAACGGTTATTTCCCATTTTAATTTTACGTCTTACTGTTGCGCAATGTGTTTTCTGATCGCAAGCGACACAACTTCTCCCTTCAAAAGCCGGAGCAATACTAACGGAGCGACAGGAATCAAGCTTATGCGTCGATAGTTTAGGTAATTTCTTTTTACAGTGAAAATAATGGTATTTAAAAAAAAGTAAATAACATAAGCACTGCTTTATAGTTAGTTCAGTTAGTATGCAAAGTTTCATGATCTTATTTAAAGTATTTTATGAATAGCAGCGGTTTATTGTTCAGTTTGGAGGTAACTTTGGATTTTTTTTCTATCGAGAAAATTTTACGGAATCGTGTTTTCGTCTAACATAAACCTTAACATTAATCCTCAACTTTACCATATATTTATTTCAAAATTAATGCTGCAATACTTTCGGCATAATGGAGGATCTTGCTAAGCCATTTGAGGTTATATTTCCCCTTAAGCTGCTACTTTACGTTGGTATTCTGTGAGAGCGTTATCCTTCGCCGGTCGAGCCGACCCATTCGTGCTACAACTATAATATAGCCGCAGCGTGGTTCTACCACAAAACAACCACAGTTTTTCATTTTTAGTCGTTATTAGGAAGACGCTGCTGCCCATCTCCTGATCTGTTTCCCTCTGTCGCCTCTTACGACACCCACGGGATGATATGGGGGTAGTGGATTTTCTTAAACCGTCACTACACTGTCAACTGTTGAGTTATTTAAAAAGAAACATTAAAAATACGATATTACTTACATCATTCCTTCCACATTTCACCAAGTAGGAAGGCGTTTCAGGCAACCTCAGCAGTATACAGAAGTGGATTAAGGGTATCGCGAGGAGAATCCACAGCACCGTGTTAAAAGGTAGGAGATCGCCCAGCACGAAGACTAGGAGGTTACCCATTGTCTGCAATGGTGAGCCAAAATTATGATTAGATCCTCATCAGCCCGCAAAGTTCACATGGGTCCTTCCATTTTGAAACAACTGATGATTAAAAATCGACAAAACGAAATTTTTGTGTCTTCAATCGTAAAACCTAAGAAAATTACAATTTATTAATATGTTTGACACCAAGTACAATGATTTCCAATCACAGGGCCAGATGTCTAGAGTTCCACCTTTTTTTTTAAATTTTAAATTTAAATGAATAGTATATCACCATTATCATTATGGTTATAGCCCTATACAAGTCCACTGCTAAATATAAATCACCCCCTAGCAATACTAGAAAACACGATCCTTAGCCACTTGGAGCATCCACCAACCGATGGGGAGGAAACGTTTTCGAGTGTCACCCTCGTACTCATAAGCGAAGTGTAGAACGGCCCCCTACTAGATGGAGTGACGACCTCCTCTCGAACGACTTGAGATTTTTAGGAATAGCAGGGCTGTCCCTTTGTACCTTTCGTCATGTATGTATAGGGTATATTGCCATAGTTGCCACGCTTGGGAAGTGGATTGGCAACCTGCTGTCCATCTCCTGGTTTGTTTCCCAGTCGCCTCTTATGACGCTAACGGCACGATATGGGGTAGTGGATATTCTGAAACTGCCACCATACGATAATATAAAACATGTAACAAAAACCCTGTGGTTTCCGTTAAGTGCGTTATCAGAATCAGTATTCAAACGTATAGATTTTTTTTGCAAAATACACATTTAAAAAATTAACTATAATTAAAAAAATTAACTTGCAAATTGTACGTGGTTCTATTGTCTCTGCATTGGGCGAGGAGTAAGAGGATTGTCAAAGATCCCGCTTTACCGATCTCGTGTGAGTTCGAGGAAATAAAAATACGAGTACAACAACATTTTTTTAATTAAATTAAAAAAAATATGGTTGAGTTTTCTGAAAAAAAATAAAATTATTTCTATACGCTTGAATGCTGATTCCGATAACGCAGTTAACAGGAACCACAGGGTTTTTGTTACATGTATATGTATGTACAAAATAATATATATAATTAATATTTATTATTACGGCGATAGAGATTTCATTACCTCATTTCGTCCCGTGGGTGTTGTCAGAGTCGATTGCGGAAAATGTTACGGCTTCCGACAGATGGCGGTATAATAATCTCCTTTACGTCAGACATAAAATAAATCGTGCTAAAGGTGACGATTAACACTTCAACGATGGGAATGCCCATAACATTGATCTTTTACGAGCCGATATATTGATTTTTGTACACGCAAGAGTGTTATCGAGCTATTTTCCAAGTTCAAAAATTTCAGTTGATCGTGGTCTAGTAACTAAATAATACTGAAATACCTAGTATGGTAGAAGAAATATTTTTACCAGATAGATGGTAATGTGTTTATCAGCCTATATATGTATATTTGTTCCTTTGTGGTCCTCTAGAGACCAAACACGTGGGCCGATTTTGATGATTCCTACGTCAATCGATTCGTCATAATCTTGCAAGTGTCACTAAAGACATGACAGTAATCAAAATTCAATATGGCGATTGGCGACCACCAAACGCCATATTGCGAGAAAGAAAGGAAAATCGACGAATATATTTAGGTATCTCTAGTGTTTTTTAATTTTTTAAGAGCATTTAGGATTTATAACGATTTAAAGTTGGTTAGCAATTATTCTCACTTAAATTTTCAAAACGTATAATCTTATTAACTCTAAAGGTCTTATTAACGTGAAAAATAACTATTCACTTTTCAGTAAAGTGTTTTAATCATTAAACTTGTTCTGCTTTTGGTTTGCACTACTGTGTTCCGGTCCGAAGGGTAAAGAGAGACAGTATAAGTACAAGTTGTGAGGCATTCCATCTTAGTTCTCAGACGTGAAAACGTGTCTGTAACCTTCTTTGTATATATATATTTTATATAGCTTTGTTAACATCGCCGCAGGTATCCCATAAACTGCGGTAACCACTTACCATCAGGTGGACTGTAAGTATGTTTGCGAATTTAGTTATTTAAAAAAATATAAGTGTCGTTTTTTAATAGGGTCACAAACGAGCACACCGTCCACCTGGTGGTAAGTGGTTGCTGTGGCCCATAGACATCTAATCTTTCCTCGATAACGAATCAAAATGCAGATGCGTTGTCACCCCTGAGGACTAAGATGGAATGCCTCGTTTACAGTAAAAAATGTCTTCGGTTCTCTACACTCACCATACAGAACACAGCAATGTTAAGCTGCTATTTTACGCTGGTATGTCCTTCCCCAGTCGAGCCGACCCATTCGTGGTGCTACAACTATACTACTAATATAGCTGCTGCATGGCTCTAAAACGTAAAACGTTGTATTATAGTCGTATATATTTAATCTTTTATCGATTGACTAACACAAGGAAAATGCATCTACATTCGTCATAAGACGAACTAATCAATGCAGGTGTTCCCCTAATATTTTATTACGCAAGTGTTAGTAAGAACTGAATAATTGGTTTTCATATCTTCCTTGTGTTATTTGTCCGGTATCTCTTGAGGAAATATTTGTTTAGTATTTGTAAAGCGCACTATGATTGAAATCATGTCGCTAATCGATGTATAAAGAACTTCGATAAAATGCAATGATTTACGCAATAGTGTAAGTACATTATTATCACATTATAGGTATATTATTATCATATTATTATTACATTTAGTTGCGGCGTTGCGAACCGAGGGTTCGAATCCAACACGGTATCTGTATGGCACACAAATGATCAGAGAATCGGCAAAAAACCAATGATTTTGGCACGACCCGGGATTCGAACCCACGACCTCAAGATCAGTAACTGCGTTTTCGACCGCTAGACTAACGAGATTTTCAATCGTCAAAGTTACAAAGATTTGTAATCACCTACTGTATATAAAGGTAGTCTGTGATCACCTACTTAGCTTTAGACCATTACCGCTACAGACTTAAAGCCCACTGCTGAACATAGGTCTCCACAATAGATTGCCTCATAGGGTGGGGTGGGGTGGGGGTGGGGGTGGGGGGAATTTGTCATAGTAGCTACGCTTAGCAAGCGGAATGGCGACCGCAGTGTTTTTAGTTTCATTCGTTATTAGGAAGACACTGCTGTTCATCTCCTGATTTGTGTCCCCCTGTTGCCTCTTACGACACCCACGGGACGATTTGGGATCGGGGATAAATGTGTGTCTACAGGCTACACTATCCGCTTACCACCCATCAGGCGGATTGTATTTTTGTATATTTATTTATCCTTTATTGGAACACATCTTTAACTAGGGCAGGGGTGGCGAACCTTTATGTATCAACGTGCCATTTTTCTAAAGAAATGTTTAATTAGGTAATAGATATGCCGTAAAATAATTTTGACATTGTGATTATTGGGAAAATAATAGTACTAAGTACTTAGACCAGTTGAATGGTCTAAGACTAAATACTATCGACTCAAAACTCTATTTACTTAGACCTTGAATGGTTTAAGTTTATTTACTACAAAAAAATTAATAAAGAGTTTTGACTTGAGACATTTATTATTATACATTACACCATAAATTTTGCAATTATACGCGTAATTCAAATTAAAGTAACATTAATGTGACTTCTGCTGTTGCAAGCTAGATGACCAAGAACTTGTATTGGGGTTGTAAAATCCTAAATATAACACAAATGAACTTTTAAATACAGTTGTGTAAACGAAATTGACTTATTCGTACTACGCCACTACATGATACTACTCAGACAGTTCTAGACAACTACTACTTTAGACAGCGCTACACAAATATAAGTTTGAAAATCTCACCTGTGAAAATATAACGAAAGTACCCGTCATTCCTCTAATGCTGTCTTCACTTATTTCCTTGACGTAGAGGGGAGCGACGACGAACCCTCCCCCTGAGCCGAAACCGATCAGTGCACGGGCTCCTATAAGCGCTGTTGGATGCGCGCACAGCAGTTTGATAGCCCAACCCAACTGCAAAAAAAAATTTGGACATACTACAAACATGACAAAAAAACATACCACAGGGAGTAAAACTTAGGGAGATAGGTACAATAAGGCCTTATCGCGAAAAAACCAATCTCTTCTAGACAATTATAGTTAATTTTCCTTGTTATAACCTAAGTTAGTTACAGTATACTATATTTGTTATGTAATATACACTACACTATATCTATCATAGAATACTATAATACATACATAATAGAACGGGGGTGTGGGCGGAGCCCGTGTAAACACTAAAATGCCACAAGACGTCAATTCACAGGTACAAAATACAAATGTCAACACGAGATGTGTTTTGACGTTACAATCGTTTTCAAATTTCGCACGCAAATTATTTAGAAAATGTCAAATTGCACGCTATTTACACAGCGATTCTTTCACAGAGCCTTTTCTAAGTATTTAAGTACAATTTTGTACATTGTATGCTGGTTTGTTACTACTAATTCTTTAAAAACTCACACTTACCTATTAAATTTGAATAATATTGGATGGAAATTACGCACGGAATAATAATTTATATGCCTTTTGTATTCCTAATATATATTTACGTGGTAATATATATTTACGTAGCCATGCTACATCTGTATATTAGTAGTATAGTTGTAGTACGAATGGGTCGGCTCGACCGGGAAAGAACAACGGTCTCACAGAATGCCAGCGTAAAATAGCACTTCAACTGGGTTTCGTATGGTGATTGCAAAGAACCGGAAACCCATTTTACTACAAACGAGGCATTCCATCTTAATCCTCACAGGTTACGACGCATCTGCATTTTGATTCTTAATCGGGGATAGATGTAGATGTCTATGGGCCGCAGCAACCGCTTACCATCAGGTGAACTGTGTGGTCGTTTGTCCTTTATCCTATAAAAAAGTCTACCAAATCTTTCTAGTACATGGTACATGTCCTTCATATAGGGGTAAAAGACGTAAATAAAAAAAATTATGCGTGTCAGTTCCGACGCGTGATTGGGATTTACTCCTGAAAAACTATTGTCTTAAAATATATACAATAAGCAAAGGAAGTGAATAAACCCATATATTTATTTATATTAATTTGATAAAATATATTACGTAAATTATATAACATAAAAATATATGATTCATATTATATTAATAATTTCGCGCCATGTGATGCGCGATTATGTATGTTCCGCAGAGGTATACCATAACGGCTTCACCGCTTGATTCTACTACTCGTCTTTTTTTCACACCATGCGCTATATATGAAACGATTCTTAAGAAGCAAACTCCAATAAACTCCAAAAATACGCTCTGTGAGAATTGAATTCATGAAAACTACTTAATTTATAACGGTTATAAATAATTTATTTTCGTTTCCCATGTCACTTATCATAGGCTGCCGTTTCAAGCTATTAGCTTGTTTAATAGCATGCTAAATAGCAAGTACCGTTATCGCATTAGATGTTTCGAATACGTGTGAGGCGCCAGACATGGCTAAACATCGTTTCGAGTTCTATTAGGGCGCGTAAACACGGAGTGCTATTGAGTTACCTATAGCTTCACGCATAATCGTGTACTACCGTTTACTTACCATAAAGAATTTATTATCTTTATATAGGTTTCTTTCCATTGTCATTTACCGAAGAGAGAGAGAGAGAGAGAACAATTTTAAACATTAAAATGTTGTAGACGTTTTTTATGAATACGGCCGGTATTTTTAAATATTTATACAAAGATATTATACAAAGATATAACTAGTAGGTAGTGTATTTCATAGTACTAGGGCGGCACTGAAAATTTCGGGAATCAAGGAAGTGAATTTTAAAAATGTATTTATTGCTTTTCGAAGTATTCTCCGCGAAATTTGACACATTTTTCCATACGATGGAACCAATCATTGAAGCAACCATTCCATTCGGAATTTGGGGTCTCCAAAATGGCCGTTTTGTTTGTGTCCACAGCTTCTTCAGGTGATGAAAATCTCTGTCCACGCAATTTATTCTTTATTTTAGGGAAAGTATAGAAATCATTAGGGCTTAGGTCGGGGCTATACGGCGGATGGTCTAATAATTCTATGTTTTCTTGCTCTAAAAACTCTTTTGTTCTGTGTGCGGTGTGAGAACTCGCATTGTCGTGATGGAGGATGATGCGGCGGTTGCAGTTCTCTTTACGGAGTTCAGAAACGACTTGTGGCAAACAAATGCTAGCATACCATTCTGCATTAACCGTTTTTTGTCCCTCAAGCGGAATAGTCGTAACATGGCCGGTTTTGGAGACAAACGTGGCCACCATTTTTTTTGCAACACTCCGTGAACACTCAAACTCGTGACTGATTTTTTGTTTCGGGTTCGTACGCGTATATCCAGAATTCGTCACCTGATACGATGTTGTATACAGTATTTGAGGATCCTGCGTGGAATCTTTCGAGAGTTCTGACGCACCAAGTAACGCGAGCCGCTTTTTGCTCATCACAGAGCGAATGCGGTATCCATCGGGAAAACAACTTTTTTACACCTTATTTGTATTTGACTCATGCCAATGTCTAAAGTTGCTTGAATTTCGTAGTATGTCACATGTCGATCTTCCTCAATCAGCTTGCGCACATCATCAACGTTTTCTTGGGTGACTGCAGTTTTTGGACGACCTTGACGGGGATCATCACTGAGCTTGACACGTCCACGTAGAAATTCAGCAAACCAGCGATAAATTGTGGTTTTGGATGGGGCTTCATCACAAGCAGCAAATGCAGAAATCATCCGGTCAACACACTGTTTTTGTGTTAAACCACTTCGAAAGTCGTAATAAATCATCGCCTTTGAATTTTCTCGAGTCAATTCCATTTTCTCAACGACTGAACAAGTTTGACAAAACCTTGTGACAAGACCGAGAATCTTTTTTGAAATAAATAAATGGTATTCGATTTTTAAAACCAAGGAGTTTTCAATTAAAAAGATTTTAATATGACAGGAACAGTGGAATAATTCCATTCCTGATACTTTTAGTGCAGCCTAGTCAATCCGTGATCGATCACCCACAAGCATGACAGCGGACGTACTCAGCGGGGAAGGGAAACTTCCTAAGAAATCCTGCATATCTATGGGATAAAAAAGCAAGCAGAGCAAAGAAAAAAAAATTGTTAAATGTTCTTGGTAATGTTCCCATGATAAGTGAATTTTTGTATACTTATTGAGAATAAAGTTCTTAAAACACAAGCTGTACGCTGTCCTAATTTATCTATAACCCTCTCAGAAATTAAAGGAAACCTGTGCCCAAGAGTGGGAAGTGGTGTGAAATCCATCAACGCATTTATATTATACAGGGTTACTTTTCAAAGAGTAGGTAAATTTTAAAATTAAGTTCAAATATATAAATAACTAGTGGGCGTATTACGTCCACGCTTTGCACGGATAGTTTCTGGATTTCGTTCACAGCGCTACTTACCAGGTCTTAAATGTGAATCTAAATCATCTAGAGACCCATTTAAATACACACAAAAAATTGGTTGTGTGTAAAGTCGGTCTACGGACGATAGTTTAACGTGACATCGTCATAACAAAACATTGATTAAATGAATGCATACTTTGTGGAAGAGAGATAGATGCGGCGCAAGCTAAACTCTCAAGCCGATCGTGCCTTTCTCTCTCTCGAGCAGCGCTCTCGCTCCGATCGTAACGTTACAATGAGCGTAACGTTACAATTAGTCATCCTTTTCGTGCATGCAGCCGGTGTTCGTAGATTTATGAGACATTGTCACGTCAAAAAATTTATCAAAATTCGTTGAGCATAATTTCATAGGTGCCGACGGGCCTCGAACCCGGGTTGCTCGGGTACTATAAAATTTACAGCAAACGCTTAGCCCCCGAGCTGCCGCAGCTCAATTTTCATCCAATATTTAACGACAATTACCTTGTGTGTAACGGCCCTTAGGTACTTTAAAATTGCATGATAGGAATTGAAAGGGCTACGCACTTTGCTTTCTCCGTAAAAACACGTGCACGTCTCAACAAACGCGGGAACGTGTTTGGTTTACTAACGGGACATACTGCGCGCGCATTAAAGTATTTAATTGTTAATGCACTTCGTGGTGTCTAATTTTGGATTCCAAGATTACGTAATTGGCATTGACTGCCGAATGCTGATCATGTTGTCACAAGTTCGAAACCCGGGGCGGTCCAAAAAGTTATTGAGGTTTTCTGTCAAGAAATTTTCTGTAGCAGCCCGTGGTCAGGACGTTGGCGGCGTTTCACCCCCGTACCTTCGAAAGCACGTTGAATATCTAAACAATGATATAGCGTTATTGCAGTTTTTGAAAATACGAGTAAATAAGGTAAAAAGTAAAACTTTTTTGTGGGCAACAACGTTTTCGCCTACCTATCGATCCTGCCGATCGATTCTTGTGCGTGCGTAGTAAAATCAGTTAAAATAATGCTTTTGAATTTAAAAGATAAAAAGAACAGAATGTTTGAGATTATTTAATTAATATTTCTTCACCATTTGCTTTTTTAATAGGACATGTGACAAACGAGCACACAGTCCACCTGATGGTAAGTGGTTGCTGCGGCCCATAGACATCTACATATATCCTCGATTATAAATCAAAATGCAGATGCGTTATCAACCGAAAGGACTAAGATGTAATGTCTCGTTTTTCTGGTCTTCGGTTCTCATCACCATACGAAACACAGCAACGTTAAGCTGCTATTTTACGCTGGTATTCTGTGAGAGCGTGGTACGTCCCCGGTCGAGCCAACCATTCGTGCCACTACACTACTACACTACACTACTAATATAGCTGCAGTATGGCTCTACCACGTATAAACTACGTTGCTTATATTACTTATTCTGAATCTTCTCTGCCAATTTGATCGGTTATTGCAGAATAACCCTGTATATACAGGATTGTTAATCCCTCGTATACCGCAAGTAGTGTGATTTTTTGGACCTATATCAAGGAAATGACAGATGCCTATCTGCAAATTCCAAATTCATAGTATCGCGTCTTTTTACAGGAAGCGGAAATTAAGGGAAATAATATTATCTGGTTATGCAAATGCCGATCACCTCAATACGGCATCTCTTCACTAAAAATATAACTTATTGAATGAAAGTATTCCTTCGTGACCATGGGCGCTGTAAAACACTCGTAACCGTAAAACTACATACTTAGTTTTATTCAATGTGTAGTGTTCGCGTAAATATAAGAAATCATAAATATAGTTTAAGGTTTTTAGTTAGAGTTTACATATAATATGTATTAAATGAAACTAATTTTATGGTATCTAGTTAAAAAAAATTCTTTAAAAGATGTTATCCCCACACTAGGATTTTCTCCTGTATCGTGGAGGCAGTATACAAACATAAATTGCATAAGGACAAACATCCAGACCCGGAACAATTATTAGGCCATACAAATACTTGTTCCGTGCAGGATTCTAAGTCACTGCGCCACGGAGCCGTCAAAACGAAAATTAAATTAAATGCAAAAACATCCGTTAAGTTAATTTCATTTGATGTGTTGTAGTATTCAGGTAAATATAAGAAATCATGATTTGATATTTAATATTTAATCCAAATTCCATATTGGAAAGTTTATTACGGAAATATCCATCCAGTTAATTCCATACGGGGCGGTAATAAATGTGGCTTATTAAAGCTTTGATGTTATGATAGTTGTATAATAAATAGCCTATTTATGGAGACGGCACCTGATGGAAAGTTAGCACCGGTGTGAATGGAGAGGTACTAAAATATTTAAGTTACATGTAGAAATATTATAGGTAAAATATCATTCAATTCTCCTATTTGTTCTATGTTTCTAAAGAAGTAAATGATAATATAAAATTAAAGTAAAATGGTAAAATTAAAATTTTTGTACAGCTGACTTCATAATAAATAAAATGAGAACATCATCAATGTAGTTGAAGTTAATTAAATACGCATTATTAGAAATAACTCAAAAACTGCTGATCAGACCTAGATAAAAAATTATGGAACCACATAACAAGCACCAGCTTTCAAATAAAAAAAAAAGAATTATCAAAATCGGTTCCCCCAGAAAAAAGTTCTGAGGACACATTAAAAATACAGTCAAATTAAGAAATAACTCCCTTTTTTTAAAATCAGTTGAAAAATGTACAAATACCTGGTGACAATATAGGTCATAGTGAAAATTATTGTATTGTTATCGGTTCTTAATACTCGTATTTCTGTGAAATTACACATTTTAAAGATGCCTGAAGGTGGATGGAAAATAAATTGGAAAAGTCCATATTTTACATTCACATACCTATGCATTACATATACATACGATATACATACAGGGCTAGCTAATAAAAGCGTGTTTGTAAAGAATCACGTTTAGTAAGCGCAAAGCATATATATAATAATTTTTGTATAATATATTATTATAATAATTTTTTACTTTAATCTTGATAGTATAAATATTGGTTGCTTATTACGTCAGGAGATTCTTAACCTTTTTGCCAGTGGGTAACTCCATTCTCGGCAGATAAATAAAAAAAAACTTACAGCGATTGGCGTTGATGCACACAGCAAAGTGTTCTTTCTGCCAAATTTGTCCGCTGCTGCTCCGTAGAGGAAAACTGCTATCGGCGCGGTGATGAACATAACGGACGCCATCCAAGACACTTCCTCTTCAGACAGAGGTGCGTCTGAGGGTGAAGATTCGCCCATGAGGAGCGCTTTGTTTGGAGATATCCAACCCATAGCTGTCCCGTAAGCCAGGATGGGCATACACACTGGAAGAAAAAGAAAAATTGTAATGATAATGAATGTAATTTTATTATAATTATATTATTTCAGCACTTAAAATTACAATTAAGAGGATAATTAATTTTTACGTAGTAGAGCCGTGCTCGAGTATATTAGTAGTATAGTTGTATCACGAATGGGTCGGCTAGACCGGGGAAGGACCACGCTCTCACAGAATACCAGCGCCAATTAATGCTGCTGTGTTTCGTATGGTGAGTGTAGAGAACCGGAGACCCTTTTTACTGGAAACGAGGCATTCCTCCTAAGTCCTCACAGATGACAACGCATCTGCATTTTGATTCGTAATCGAGGATGGATGTTGATGTCTATCGGCCACAGCGACCACTTACCATCAGATGGACTGTGTGCTCGTTTATAATCCTATCCTAAAAAATAAGATTAATTATTGGTGCTGGCTGGGATCGAACCCGGGTTGCTCGCATACTGTGAAATTTATAACGAGAGTTAACCATCCGATTTACCACGTGCTCGACGGTAAAGAAAAATATCGTAAGGAAACGAGCACGTCTGAGAAATAAGAAAAAAAATATTTCGAAGACATGTGAAGTTTGCCAACAGTTTTGGCGTAGCGCGATGAACACTTTCTTGTCCTTAAACATTTACCTTATTTACTGCGTTCACCCGTCGTGCTATATCCTTATCATATCCTCCATCTTTGCTAAAACGCGTCCCAAATAGAGAAAGCCTGAATAATTTATTCATAGAAAAACGTTTTCTAACTTTAACTAGAATATACTATCTTAGAGTTGTGCCTATTTATTAAAAATAATTTCAATTTATTCGAACCGATTTACCACGTACTCGGCGTTAAAGGAAAACATCGTGAGGAAACCTGCATGTCTGTAAAATAAGGAAAAAATATTTCGAAGACATGTGAAGTTCGCCAACACGCATTGGGGCAGCGTGGTGGACACTTTCTTGCCCTAAAACCCTCTCAAAAATGAGGAGAAGCCTGTGCCCAGCAGTGGGACGTATATAGGCTGTAACTTTTATTCGAACCGAAACTTCAACGCTACACACTTTATCTACCTAAAATTAATTAAAGTAGTATTAAGGGTAATTAAAGTATTCAATCACTTATCGAATAGTATTAAAACAATAAAAGGGCCCAAATTCAAAAATTTATACTATATACTATAAATATAAATTGGTTGTTGGAACATACGTTTTATACGCTAAATTATTTCTATAATTTTAAGAGTTCATAACATGTTCTTTACTCTTTTTTTATAGGATAAGAGTGACAAACGTGTACACAGTCCACCTGATGGTAAGTGGATGCTGTGGCCCAGAGACATCTACATTTAAGCTCGAATAAAAACCAAAATGCAGATGCGTTGCCACCTTTGAGGACTGAGACGGAATGCCTTGATTCTAGTAAAACTGGTCTCCGGTTCTCTACACTCACCATACGAAACACAGCAGCATTAGTTGTCAAAGCTGCTATTTACGCTGGTATCCTGTAAGAGCGTGGTCCTTCCCCAGTCTGGCCGACCCATTCAATCTATAACCATAATATAGATGCAGCGTGGCTCTACCACGCATAAAGCACCACGTACCACGTATAAGTATTTTGTTTTAAATATTTTATCTCATTAAGGTAATTGTAAATTTATAATCTGCTAAACGTTAATTGTAAAATTGTTATCTGTTAAATGTAAATGTAGTATTATGTTATGTTTAAAATGTAAATTGTAAATCTATTGCATGTCCGATGAGGCAACTGTTGATACCTTTTATAATATTTAGTTCTGTAACTATTTATTGTACACAGTAATGCAATAAATAAATAATAATAAATAATAATAATAGGGTTCCTCCATATGGGGAAGAAACGGCAAAAGAAAGTTCTCAGTAGGGTTGATGAGGATGTGCTTATGAGGAAGGGGATACGGATGCAATAATTCCTGTGTTAGAAATATATTTTAAGGTTGTGAATGAGGATGCGGTTAAGAAAATCGGACTTCGCAAGAAAACTGATTTTTCTTGAAATTCAAATGTAAGTGACAGAAAAATTACGGAGAGTGGGAGGGGGGATTTTAATACAGAAAAATAAATAGTCAAAATTAACAACAAGAATAATCCGTTTCATCAAAATAACTTTTTTTCATAAGGACAGTTGATGGAGGGACTGAAATATACTCGTATTGGCGTATAGCTACCACTACAGACTGCATTCTTGAAGATCTATTCTCTTCGCTTTAATGTAATTAACTATTACTGACTTCGGCATAACAAATCTGTGGATAAATTCGATTGGACTTTTTTTATAGGATAAGGGTGACAAACGAGCACACAGTCCACCTGATTGGTTGCTGTGGCCCATAGACACCTACATCTATCCTCGATTACGAATCAAAATGCAGATGCGTTGACACCCCAGAGGACTAAGATGGAATGCCTCTTTTCCAGTAAAATTCCTTAATTCTCTCTGTTTTCGGGTCTCCGGTTCTCTATACTCAGCATACGAAACACAGCAGCGTTTAGCTGCTATTTTACGCTAGTATTCTGTGAGAGCGTGGTACTTCCCCGGTCGAGCTGACCCATTCGTGCTACAAATATACTACTAATATAGATGCAACATGGCTCTACTACGTAAAAAACTTTCTTCATCATCACTGTTAGGAACTGATGAAATTAATATCTCAGGTGACAACGAGTGTAAAATCTGTGTATTGTATAGTTAGCACTTCCTCATAAATTTCTCATAAATAATGAATAAGAAGCGGGAGAGGAAGAGGTATTATTAATACCTATTTTAGAGGATGTAGACGAGTGGACGTTTACCTATGTAAAATCGTTAAAAACGAGGAACTGCCAAATTGAAAGGAAAACAAACTACACAAAATAAAACAAACAAAAAGAAATAATGGATAACTTGAGGAGTAGCAGTTTTTGATTGTTTGTTCCAAGCATCCATTTACTATAAGATAGACTCTGTTTGCCTGCAAAAATTACTTGTATAAAAATGCGTGTCTCATATTTTCAGATGTTGAGTAGGATCAGTCAGAGAGTAAAGATTATGAAATTAATATGTAACATCAATAATTGATGTGCAAGCACTACCGGAAAAAAACTTAGACCTCTTTTTGGAGGAACGAGGCATACCATCTTAGCCCTCGAGAATGACAATGCATGATGGATGTAGATGCCTGTAGGCTATAGCATTCACTTACCATTCAAATGAACACATATTCAACTTGTGTGTGTGTTTATTTGTTACACGTATTCTCTCTTACATTTTAAAAAGATTCAGTCGCAAATTGTAGGATTGTTAACCACATATCCATGAAGGGAAGGGAATAAAAACTAGGCTCTATTGAGGCCTCAGTTCGTAGCGTTTATTTATAATAACATAATTACTGATCTATTTTTAGCAGGTACACGGGCTTCTTGTAAAGTTCGTTGGACTAATAGACTTTAATTGTAACTCGACGGAGTTAGCTTCACGTTCTTTAAAACGGAACGTAAGACGTTTGTAGAGTATGAAATGTATTATTCAACAATTAATATAAATCTATAGTATAATCAATTCACTCGAATCAATTAGTATAATCGACTGTCCCGTTGGTCTAATGATCTTAAGCGTGACTGCTGATCATGCAGTTGATCATGAAAGTCCCGGGTTCGAATCCAGGGGAAGAGATTCTTAGTAGCATTCCAGAGGTGAAAAGAACATAAATACCCCTGAAAACCCATAGGACCATTGGTTCTGCACCCGATCTTTCTCCAATCGTGTCGGATTGCAGTCCCAGCGGACTATGAGAGTGAGGAAATAAAAAGTGCACTCGGGTATACTATAATCCTTTTCCGCGCAGTTGGATAGTCCCCGTTGAGAATGGCCGCCGTGAACGAACGATTCGGTCTGCAGATAGTCGGTCGATATTGTTTGTCAAATTTTATAATAATAATAAACGTTTAATAATAATAAACATTTTTCAAATATTAATTATTAATTAAATATAACATATAAAAATATACAGTCGAATTGAATACCTCCTCCTATTTGAAGTTGGTAAAAAGGTTTATTATTGACACTCAGGTATACAGTACCGTACCGTTATCTATACCTATCAATAATCTACTGCTGAACATAGGTTTCCCCACAGGTAGCCTTATAGGGGGGATACTTGTCATAGTTGCCAAGCTTGACGCGTTGACGACCACAGTGCTTTTCATTTTCAGTTGTTATTAGGACAATGCTTCTGCCCAACTCCTGTTTCTACTCACTCTGTCGCCTCTAACGACACTCGCGGGATTATATATGACAACGTGAGTAAGATATTACAATGTCTTATTACGTTTTTCATTGTCATCATCATAATCATTACAGCCATTCACAAGTCCACTGCTAAAATACATGCCCAAGAATAAGCCTCTAAGCCACCTGCATCCAACGACTTCCTGCATACCTTACTAGGTCGTCAATTCATTAAATGGGTCGTAACTTTTCTTCCCAATCGGTTTTCGGTTCTTCCGGCAATATGGCTGGCCCATTGCTACTTCAGCTTACAAATCCGTTTGGCACGGTAATTTTAGCAAAGCTCGCTGAGTTACTTTGTGCTTCCTTATACGACCAGCAGTGAAGGACCACGTCTCAGATGAATATGTCGTTACTGGCAACACCTACTGGTCGCATAATCTCGTTTTCAAGTTTTGAGGCATAACTCACTAGAAGATATCTCGTCATCTCCCGAACGTTGTTCGGACTTAGTAGGACTATTTGTCCTAGGTGAACACACTCGTCACCATCTTCGAGCGTAGTGCTTCCAACAACTATCATTATAGGTACCAACTACATGGACGCTACAAATGGCTTCTGGTTTGTCCATGTTTGTTTCGAGACCTATCTGTTGAGAGACACTATTGAGATTATTAAGCTTGCAGTAGCTTATATAAAACTAAAGATTTAAATCAGAAACTAGTCAGTATACGCAGCCCCGTCAGCATACAGCAGCGTCAAACG